GAAATAATCTTAGGTTTGTTAAACTTAATTGGGACATTTCTCATGGTCAATTGATTTTGTGGACAACTTGTCAAAGTTCAAGGTCACATTGACAATTAGGTTAAAATCTTTGTCTTTGGATGAAATAATAGTCTAGATTTGTGAAACTTAGTAGGAACATTGCCCGTGGCCAGTAAATGATTACTGTTCAATATGAGGTAATTAGGTTAAAAGCCAAAGTAACGATGACACGTAGGATAAAATTCAATTCCGATCAACAACTTGAGATGGAAGTCTTGAGCCTTGGTTTCTGAAATTTGGTTGGAACATTGTCCATGGCAAGTTGATGAACTGTATTCATTTTAAGATCATTGAGTCAAAATGTCAATGTCATAAAATATTTATGTAAAATCCGTGTCTTATCAATAACTTCTTGTTTTTTTAATGAGTCCTACCAAATTTACATCTTACGACAGCATAAATAATACTCAGACACGTGAAACTCTTCTTTCTTTATAGAATATAATTATCTTCCCTTTTACACGAACCTATTATCTGTCCGTTTTTTTGTCGCTAGTTTACAATATAATAGTATATGTGTATGATGACAAAGAAACTAACTAAAATCTCTTTGTACAAAGCTATCAGAGGTAAACATAACATGCTGTCGAAGTTATCAAAGGCAAAATTGACATTAGGCAAACTTGATCAACGAAATGATCAACCGCAAATGCGAAAACAGTTGATTTTTTTTATTAAGTGAATAAGTAATAACTGATATTATTTGTTCCAGTACAGGACAGATTCAATCCACGACTTTTGCTGTTCTTATATACGTTAGGGACAGCAATTACCATTGGGTTATTGCCATGGATACCCGAGTTTATTGTCATGGTAATTATTCGGGTCATTAATGGAATATGTATTGGAGGCCAAGACACAGGTATACTTTACATGTAATTTGATTTTAAGTTTCTTCCTTCATATACCTTTTAGTTTTGTAGATACCTTTTAGTTTTGTATGTGACACAATTTCAAGACTCACAGTGCTTTCCTAGTGAAATCTATCGTTTCATACATGTACAACACACGTCTTACCTAGTGTACTTAACCAGCTAACCAGAACTAACAGTTCATTGTATTGTGTCCGCGAAGTTAACGGGGTGAAATTACATGAACAAGGTTTTTTTTATCGTGCATATCTAGTGACGCAGGAATGTGAAAATAAAATAACGCTGGCATTTTGCAATGAGCAGTAAATTATTAAAATATTTTTTTCCAGGATCACAAAAAAAGATCAGACTAACCTTAACCCTCATCCATAAATGACCTTGAACTTCAAGGTTAAATGTCTAAATTTGGCTCGGTTTTCATTTCTGATTTTTGCTTTTAGTGGCTATAAGTTTGTTATTTTTAAAAGGATTGTCTTCAAATTTGAACATAATAATCTTTAAGGACAAACCTTTAAGTTAATCAGACAGACCTTGACTTATAAAAGACCTTGACATTGAAGGTCAAATTATTGAAATTTTCATATATTTTTGCTGTAACTGGATATAACTTTGTTATTATTGAATGGATTGATTTAATATAATAACACAAAATTCTTAAGGATAAGACCTTTATGAATGTATATCAAACTCAAATTGACCTTGGTCCATATATGACCTTAACCTTGAAGATTAATTTGAATTTTTACTATGATTGACCAATAAATGGATTATTCGGCGAGTCTTATACATGTATGATTTGGAATAAGTCCATGATTTACTTCGGAATGACACAAATTATTTTGCGTGTAGTCAATAAAAATAGAAGTACATAAAACATCAGTTTTAAACTTCGTGACCAATTTTAGTTTTCTTGCTTTGTTCTTCAAATGGAAGACTATGTTTGTTTTTTTTATCTCCGTATACAAATAATGGACGGTGCAACTGTCTGTAGTTTACGCAAAAATTAAGTCATGCGTAAACACGTTGTCTTCACCTAAAGGAGAACTGTTTCGTATTTGGACAAAACGCATCAGTGTAAGAGCTGTTGCATTGCACTGTCATAAAATATCTGAATTTTCCAATATACCCATTTTTTGACTTTAAGAAACTTAGAAACAGGTTCGTATTGAAGAAAATATAAATGTAAGTTGTGTATTATTCTTTTGAGATGATTTGGATAGTGTTGTGTGGACATAGTTCTGGAATAGCCCCCTTTGAACATATTAATATCGACGAAATACAAAAATCGCCATCAAAACAATAGTGATGTCGTCAATCATCTCAAAATATGGTTGAAGTATAATGTCTTAGCAGCCGTTATCGGTTATTCATTTATATTTGATTTACTATAGAATATTTTAGTCAGTTAAGTTACCATGTTACTCATTTCGGCCATTAAGCGTCGGCGTTACTTTTGCACGATTCCTGTGTTATTTTCGCATTCCTGCGTTTTTTTTATATACGCGGTATTTTACAAAATAGTAACCAAAATATCGTCATCGACACTGTACTACTGGCACACAGCTGTACTTGACTTTCAACACCAGACCTGAAGAAGAAATTTCTAAATTTCACCATTTTTAGCTCGACTTTTGTCGAGGAAAAAATAGAGGTATTACAGTCATGTCGGCGTTCTCGTTGCCGTCCGCAAACTTTATTTAAGGTTGATCGTAACTTCTTTGTTAGTGTATTGTCATCTGAATTTAGCTATTTTTGCTTTTATTGCCTAATTCGTTGTTATTTTTGAATGGACTGTCTTCAAACAACACACATTTTTGAATGGACTGTCTTCAAACACCACACAATCTTTAATGATAGGCCTTCAAGTTAACCATACAGACCTTGACCTTTACTCATAAATGACTTTGACTTTGAAGGTCAATTTATTGAAAATTTAGTTTCTTGTTTGCTGTAACTTTATTATTACTTTGTTACGTATTGACTTCATATTAAGACACAGGATTCTTTAGGATAAGACCTTCATGTACATCAAATTTAAATTGACCGTGGCCGGCTCATTTATGACCTTGACTTTGAAGGTTAAACTGTTGAATTTTTACTGATTTTTGCTATAATTGATTGTAAAAAATGTGAATAAAGATTAACAAGGCCAAGCAACTATCACAGAACGCAGCCTCCGACACAATCCACTTACACCAGTAGAGCGCCTAGAAGGTACCGAACTAAAAGTTGAGAGAAGACACAAGGGCGGTGAAAGGAGGGGGTTTTGTAATAAGTTAAATGATAAGAGCTTAAAGGGACCAATACGAAAATTAAAGGGACAAGGGATTAAGGGGAAAATGAGGGGTTGGGAGGGGGGTAGAGCATACGGAATAAGGGCGGTAATGGAAAGACAAAAGATACTGTAAACGACAATATAACAAGATAGGACATCACAAAACATGCAAACATTCAAAATATTTAACAATACATGTACACAAAACATACATGTGAAGGAACACAGAGGAACGGTCAGTAGTAATAACACCACTGGGAAGTTTAAACCGGTTTTAGGCGCGCCAAACCTCACTCTTAGTCCCAATATGTTCCTATATGACGAGACAGTGTAAATAAAACGAATCCCCGCCAATTGAAAATCTAACAATTGTCATGGACGAAAAAACCCACATAAATGATCATGTAAATATGTACAAAAAGGTACCACCCAATGACCATAACAAAAGTGCTCAATGCCTTAAAGGAATACAGAGCAACAAGAAAATCGCATACAAGGGCCCGACGAAGCAAGACAAAATACGTAAATCAAAACAATTCTGTCTGAAAGGCTTTAAGAACTGTCCATCATGAGTCTTTCACTTGGTCGTCAGCTGCAATTAAAAGAGGAAAGCGTAGCGTCTAACTGTACTAAGCATGCGGTATGCATTAAAATAATTGGATCATTGTCTCTTTTAATAAATTGTTAAGACAGCAGAAACATTACTATGACTCATGATCCTTAGAAGTTTGTAACCACAACTACATAGAAATCAGGCGTGCTAATATCTTGTCGTAAAACAGTTTTTAAATTGCAATTAGATTTTAAAATTAAATCTGAATTACGATGGAAGAACTTTGTAAATATTTTCGTAATTTATGATAGCGATAGCCTTGTTGAAGATGTTTGCCAGTAATAAATAAATTGCATTTATTAAAATCATCCACACGACTGTACGCCCTAGCAAATTTAATTAACCCCTGAGGTACATCTAAATGTGAATAGTTAACGATATTAAAATCAAAATAATCTCTTTTATCGTAGATTTTAGTTTCTTTAGTATTGTTAATGATAGAAATGTTTAAATCTAAAAAAGTTTTAGCAATGTCTGAAGAGTTAGTTTTATTCAATTTAAACTCAAATGGATATATTTTAGTAACCATATGATTAAAATAAGAATTATTCAAAAACAAACAGCTATGAAATTTGGACCACATGTAATTTTGAACTTTGATAATTACCAGCTGACTTAGATTTTCACTTGTGACCTACTGTCTTGTTTTTGTATGTACACAGTATGAATTCGAACCATGTTTACAACTTTAGATGTATAATTGAACTTTGATATCAGCTGATCTAGATTTTGACCTATTGGCCTACTTTCTGGTCCTTTGATGTACAACTATGAAATTTGGACCATGCGCACAGTTTTAGATTTAAAATTGAACTTTGATATCAACTGACCTTGATTTTGATTAAGTGGCCTACATTTTTGTCTTTGATGTACAGCTATGAAATTTGGATCATGTTTACAGTTTTAGATGTAAAATTGAATTTTAATATCAGCTGATCTAGATTTTGACATTGTGGCCTATTTTCTTGTCCTTTGATGTACAGCTATGAAATTTGGACCATGTACACAGTTTCAGATGTAACATTGAACTTTGTTATCAGCTTATCTAGATTATGACCTTGTGATATACTTTAGCTGTTTTACTTTGTTCTATTATTTTCTTCTTAAACATTTATTTAAACGTTTTATTTGTTCGCTTTTGGGGGGAAAAGTCGAGCGTTGCCCCCGCCCAGCGATGCTCTTGTTTTAAGAAAAGTAGAGCTATTATTATAATCATGGTGTCGATGATGTTGCTGTTGCCGATACCGTCCGAAAACTTCAACGTTGGTCAAATATTTTATTAATTTCTAAACGGATTGCCTTAACAACCCTTTGGACAAGACCTTCAAGCTGAACTTGACCTTCACTTTTAAATGACCTGACGATCAAGGTCAAATTATTGAAATTTGCTTAAATTGTCATAACTTTATTATTTATTTATGTATTCGTCTTATTTTCGGACAAAAGATAAAACTGACATGATGATTAATTCATATTTGGCCTTGACTTTTTAATGACTTTGACCGTCAAGATCCAATATGATGTTTGAATTATATTTTGTTCAAGACAGTTATGTTTTCTAGGATGGCTATTATTATTTTTATATTATTTTATGCTTAATAGGCATTCATTCCATGTTATTTGCACTATGGGCCAGTGAAGGCGGCCCTTTCATCCAGATGACCCACGTGCTCACGGCTGTTGGTGGGATTATATCTCCTCTCATTACACAACCCTTTGTAAGAGAACCGAAAGGTAAATGTTCTTTACTAAACATAATAAATGGATCTCGTTGTAGTAAAACCTTTTCTACATAAAAGCTTTATCAACGTTGTAAATGTTTATTCTAGCAGTTAAGGATGGTTAATACCGGCACTATTCACTAACACATAACGCTGCGGTCTTTGTATTAATATTGCATTAATCTCATTTCTTGTATATCTCTTGCAGGGAATGTGGAACCAGGACGTAATTTATCATATGATATAACATCAGAAACAACAACATCCGCAGTTACAAACAACATAACATTTTTTCAATATAATTCAACTCTAACTAGTCTTAGCACGGGCGGTGTCACATATTCGGAAACTGTTCACAAAGAGACCCATGTTCAGTATGCTTTTCTGATTACTGGAATACTAGTTTTATCTGCAGCTGTTCCATTTCTTGTTGCTTTTCTTCGGAAACAAGCAATTCAAAAGACCATACGCCAATATAGCAATGATAGTGTTGATAAAAACAAGCTACCGAAATTGATAAAACGGATCATTTTATTTATTTTGTTTATAAATTCATTCGTTGCTACGGCGTACATTGATTTGTTTCCCAGCTTCTTAACAACGTTTGTTATGAGTCAACTAGACTGGACACAGCAAGCAGCATCCTCTCTCACTTCCCTTTATTTCGGTATGTACGCTGTTGGTAACTTTATTGGAGTCTTTATTTTAGCATACATAACTCCTACAAAACTCATTGTTACCTCCTATCTTACGTCAGGAATTTCGATAGCGGGTGTTTTACTAAGCGTTTTGTTTATACAGACTGAATTAGTTTGGGTCTCTGTAGGGCTCAGTGGTATAACAATGTCTGGAATATTGCCAACACTGTTCACAATTACACAGGAAAACGTGACACCAATCACAGCGAGGCTAGCTTCATGTCTGCTGATTTCCGGCTCCGCCGGAGTAATGGTGAATCCAATACTTTTGGGATACATGATGGAAGTGTTCTCACCAATGTGGTTTATATATCTATCTCTTGGGGAAACTGTCGTTTGCTCAATGTTGTTTGCAACAGTCTTTACATTATCAAGGCTTTATTCTGCAAAGAGAATTAAAATACACGAGACGTCTGCTCTCAACGAAGAACCAAAACCTAAGGACGATGAGGTTACAGAAGATCAAACGAAAATATATCCTCGTGGAACTCTCTTTGGTGTTTAGTTAAATATGGGTTTTAGCTCACAAGAACCGTCTGACGTCAAAATTGGTCTTCTCTAAAAGTACTTCAAATTTGGAGTGTAGCATCATAGTCAAACTGCCCAATTTACGCTATTAACTGGCCACTAAAATGGGTAAACAGAGGTCAAAATATCAAAAATCTCATTCCAGCCATTACAGCTTTTCCTATTGATTGAATGGCTGGATGATCACCAAACTTTGTCTGTAGCTTTTAAAGATAATCATCTATTAAGCTAATTTTACAATAGCTTTACACTTTTTCTCATGAACCAATGGATGAATCATCTCGTCCATAGCATTTTAAAATGCTCGTCTGTCAAGTTTGCTGTTCTAAATGATTTTGATCAGCTCAAGAGCCTTATTAGGAGCTGCAAGACCCTTCAATATGGAATTTTTTCCGCAAATCTAGTCTGAAGCATTTTATGTAGATCAAATTGCTCCAAAATGATTTGGTTACTTATTTTACGAAGACAGTAGAGCTAAATTAGAAATATATGTAAACTATTTATTTAAACTTAGTAATATAGTAAGCTTGTGATTTGCCTTTGAACTACTTTAAGCCCCCCCCCCCCACCCCCCTCTTCCACTTCCTAGGGTAAATGTTTAGGTCACTGTTTCGATAATTAGATTAAGCAAGCATGGTTTGTAGCAAGCTTATGCGGAGGCATCGCTTAATAGTTCTTTTTGACGCCACCCCAATGTCAAGGTCAAAGTCTGCTATTAAAAAGTAATTGAAAATTGGTTTCCGGACAATAACTACAGTTCAGAATCAAACATATAGCAAGCTTGTGTGGAGATAGCTCTGGACTCTTGCAATTGCTTTAAGGCCTCACATTGTCAAACCAATGTCCACTATTACTCAAAATAAAAGAAAAATGGTTTTCAAATGATAATTAGAGACAAGTATGATACATGTATGTTATAATCATAATATATATATATATATATATACATATATATATATATATATATATATATATATATATATAGTGATATAATATACTAATCATATATTTTAATTTTTTGCTGATATTTTTTGCTGATATTTTTTTATTTTCTTGACCTTTAATTTACCTCGGACATAAAGGTCAATTTCTTTTAAGTTGCTTACATTGTTATACCTTTGCTATTGATTTAAGATTTAAGATTTAATTCATACTTGGACAAAAGATCTACATGACAAAACAGACATGTTAAATTATTCTGATATGACCTTTCATTTACCTTTATTATTGAATTTTGCTGACATTGTCACAACTTTGATATTTATTGATTCATTCTTGGACAAAAAGAGCACTTAATGACAGAACTGACAATTTAAATGTGGCAATGACCTTGACCATTAAGGTCAAATAGGAAATTTGTAATCATTTGTTACTAAAATACAGTGTAAAATAGTATTCGTTATAGAGTATTCGTTACTATAATATACTTCCTTTGATGTGTTTGACTTTAGAAATAAGAAAAAGTCGAGCGTGGCCCCCGCCAGGAGGAAGCTCTTGTTGATAACATTGGTATTGTATCTGGTCACCATTCTGTCATTTCTGGGTGGATTATAAAATAACTATCCATAAATGTTTTGGACATTATGACGATGTGTGGCGCGCAAGAATTATTTCTTCTTTCTATCATTCCATGTTGGATTATAGAATATATATATAGAAAGTTATGACCCTTTAACTTAAAAAAAAACAGTTTCCGTTCATTATCTCCAGAACAGTTGTACATATTCAACTCAATTTTAACATATGGATATGTTATAGGAATACGCTGGTCAAGTTTGAATTTGGTCATTGTTCGATGATTTTGGACAAAGTTATCCCTCAAAAAGAATTCAGATTCCGCACTCTTTCTTTTGTAGAAATGTGTATATTAGGTTGAAATCGCATGTGCAGGTATTTAACCAGATAAAAACAAGTCCAGTTCGACTTTGGTTATGGTCCGATGATTTTTGACAGAATTTTCCTTCTTGGACTGAGAAAAAATAAGAAATTTTCAGTTTCTGCTTTTGTAGGAATGTAGGTCCGGGGATGACGTCGCATGTGCTGGTATTTTACCAGGAAAGACAAGTCAGGTTCTAATTTGGCCTTAGATGTTGACAGTTATACCCCTTGAACTTGGAAAAGTGTTAATAATTTACAATTTCTAATCATTATCTCGGCTACAAATAAGCTTTTTCACTGAATAGTTTCAGGGCCTTGAACTTTGTTTAAAAAGGTTTGTGATCACATTGAATAGTTTTAGGCCCTTGTTCTTAGAATGGTTTGTGCAAACAACTTTGGACCTAAATATTATAGCATTTGAAATTTTGGCTGCATGCGGGGGCATTCGTGGCGTTACGACACATTTATAGTTTTCAATCTTGTATTTATATGTACCACACTTTGTTTGCATTTATTTCATACTAACGTCACAGGAGGGCTGTGATTTATAAAGGTGGTATATATTTTATTTTGTATATTATATACAAACATACTTATTTTATGTACTGAAGACTCTTCTGTAACATGACCTATAGTACTTGACAAAAAATGACACAGGCAATATGTGTGCGTGCGTGCGTTCGTGCATGTACGTTCGTGCGTGTGTGTGCGTGTGTGTATGCGTGCGTGCATTTCAACCAAACTTGCCAGAGTGTTCCTTGTGTGAAGGGCTTCTTTCTAAGAATTTGGTCCCATGGCAACCAAATGAGGAATATAAAAAGAAACATAATTTAAACCATTTGTATTCTCTCTAAAACCACAAGGCCTAGAGCATAGATATTTTGCACCAAGTAATGCATTGTCTGAAGATTGTTCAAATAATAATGAGATCAAAATTGGCCCCAGGTTCAGAAAATGCAAGGGCTAATATATTTAGCATGAACTATTGTCTAGTGGATAGCTACCAATTTTTTTCAAATTATGGCCTGGGTTTGGCATCCTATTTATCTTCTGTTCCTACTTGTGTTGTTTAATGCGGTGACATAGCATTAGCATTTTTTTCACAAATGCAATCTTGTTTATGTTTTTGATAAAGGGTTTCTAAACTGAAATATCTACTTTCAGTATCGGTTCTCAAATTACTGACTTATCAACATACAAGTTTGAAGTGGGCAATATAAAATGCAAGAACTGGTTTTATCATAAAGCATAAATAAATATTTTAAAATAATACACAGTTACTTACAATTACTTTAATACTATCACTAAAACTGTCTAGATCCTTCTTTGTTTATTGCCAACAACCATTATGATGTGTCAAAGCTATATATGTATTACAAATAAATAAATTTAGAAATGAATATATTTTAGTCACACATATGCCATAAACCCAACGATACCTTTTATTTCTATAACGTTTCTGGTGTTAAGGAAGCTACTTTCCTACCAAAATTTGACAACCTCTCAGATCTTGATGATTTTCGGTATGCAAACACGTAGATATGTAAGTTTTACTTCAGCAGCATTTTTTTGTAAATCAGGAGCGTAAGTATGACGTCAAAGCGCCCCCTATTGGCGGTGGCGGAATCGCGCCTTTTTATCATTAAAACGGACTGTTTTTATTAATTCTCATTCGATTTTCTTTATTCAAATTTTATAATATTCCTAGCTTTATATTGATGTCTTTCTCTTAACTTTGCTGAATTTACTGCGATTCTACGGCTAATTTCCCTCCGTTTTGAGTACACATCTGTAAACAGTTGAAAATACCGTCCGTCATCGCAATACCAATTGTGAAATAAAAAACATCAACGAGGTGAATTTTGCTTTAATTTTTTTTAGCAGGTAGTGAAATCATGAAGGAAAATATTTATGCAATAAAAATATAGCTGGCGCAGTCACATGCAGTTTCATCATGCTTTGTGCATCTCGCGATCTCGGTACTACATAAAGTTTCATGTTATCATATGTAACAATTTCGAATAGTATAAATCAATTAGTTGGAAAATTCTGAAATTGTCATTTTTGAAATGAATATAATTAATCACGACAAAAAAGTCACGACAAAACCAACATAGCGCGTTTGCAACCAGCATGGATCCAGACCAGCCTGCGCAGTCTGATCAGGATCCATGTTGTTCGCTTACCAACTCTATTACAAGTAGAGAAACTGATAGCGAACAGCATGGATCCTGATCAGACTGGGCGGATGCGCAGGCTGGTCTGGATCTATGCTGGTCGCAAACGCATAACGTTGGTTTTGTCGTGACGCGGCTCATTTGTATCTTTTTACCGTAAATCTAGCAGACAATTAATTAAAAACTTTTCTACACGTATTATTATTATTTATTAATAGCCATCAGTTATTCTATTTTCTCGTGCAGCTAAATAGCAGGGCTATTGGTACTTTGCGGAACGGAACGAAACGAAACGAAACGGAACGAGGGGCACCATAAAGGGGAAAATTATATATTCTAGTTTTAATTTGGAAAATCAATATTATCATAATAGTAAATAATATGAACTCTTTATAATCATAGTCAAATGATGTTTAGTGTCCAATGAAACTCATAATACACAAAACATTAATATTTAGTCTTGTTCCGTTACGTTACGCAAAGTACCATTACCCACACGGGTATTGGTATTTTGCGAAACGGAACGAAACAAAAATTAAAATGGTTAGATATATCGGTGAAAAGGAATAAATCTTTTATTTGTAGTTAAAAGCATAACACTGAATGATTATAAATCGAACATCTGCAAACGTGTATATGAACGAGAGAGCAACCTTAAATTATTTTCCGGTCCGGATATATATAAAGTCTTGTAAACATTACTAAACATAAGCTGTCGAATGAGAAAAACTCACGCAGCACGTTAAGAAATAAAATTAAATTCGCCTCGTTTTGTTCCGTTACGCAAATTACCAATACCCACACAGGTATTGGTACTTTGCGAAACGGAACGAAACGAGAAAAAATAATTCATTTATATGAAATATTTTTCAGGAATTCATATCTAATTATCTAATTCGCGTTTATGCTTGCATGCACAAGAATGGTCACAAGAATTTGCAATTCAATATTGTTCAAGTAATTTGCGACAGCTCATCAAATCCATAACTTATTACTGGTGTCATGCAACACTTTACTAAAAGTAAAGGCATATTTTCTTATTTAATGTGGCTAGTCCTTTGAATGAAACTTATTTCCGGTCGTGCCCACGGAAGGCGACATATACCTCCCAAGCATTAAGTCTAGGCCGATACTGCTGGAAACAATACCCATGTAAGTAATTCACCGAGCACTGAACACAAGTCGTGATGTCAGCTGCGGCCGGGAATCGAACTCAGACCGCTGTTGTTGTATTCCAACCTGCTATCCACTGTTCTACTGACTCCCTATGTTATACTCTCATACTTTCATAGATACATATACCTTCATAAATAACCTCGATATGCAATACTGCCGGGCATATTAAATAATCATTTATGGTTTTATATGTACTTATAATTGCCGTGCCTGGACCTACAAGTCGTATGTATGTTATTAGATTATAGGGAAATTTGTATGTTTGTGACGGGAATATTTTTTGCATAATTCCTTGCATTTACATGCGTCTTATAAAAATGATATTCTTCAAACTACTTTTTACGCTGTTGTTGTCATCATCTTAAATTACAAAATACATATATAACCAAAATAGCCCGTTCTCTCTTGCTTCTTTTTGTTACCAAACCCCACAAAGGTACTTTGCGCAACTGAACGAATTAATATTTATAAAATGAAATTTCTTAGAAATATCGGATAATCGTTTATATGTCTGTATAACTGTCGAGCCTGGATCTGCAACTCATCTTTTCATGTATTAAGGATACTTTGTATGTTTGTGTTCCTTGCATGTAATCGCTTGTAATGAATATGATTTATTTATTTTCATAGGAATTCTTACTGTCAGCATCGTGAATT